CTCCACACAAACCCTTGACATAAGTCGCTATTTAAAAGTTGGAGTAGAAAGCTACTATTTCATTTGTTCCTGGTCTAGGACTGGAACCAATCAGAAAACAGCTTTTATTGTAGGTAAGTTTTGTAAACAAATATGACTCGTCTTTAAAATGGAAGGTGTCGATATTGTAGAATTTGTGACTAGTTACATTAAACGGAACATCGGGGATAAATTTTTGGAAGATCGCCCTCCTAACAATCACAAAAGATATGCTCTGGAGTTGGACCATTTGAAAACGACTGATTTGAAAAAATATATTTCCATGGGTTAGTTTATAATTACCCATTACGTCATGCGTAACCAATTAAATAGCTACTTATGTCAAAGGTTTGTGTGGATTTCAGAAATCACAAAGCCTTGACATTGTGAGGATGATTTATCGACGAAGGGAACTAATTCGGTGGCTATGGCTGATGCGAAAAACACTATAGCCAAAGAATCTAAAGGGGGGGGGGGTCTCCCTGAAAACATGATTTGCTTTCAAAGTGAAAGAACTTTCACAAAATAGACATTGAAGAGTAAATTCATATTTAATCTTGAAAACTTTACTATGCAGGAAGTAAATTATTTTAACATACAATTATACAACAAACAAACTGAAGCAATACCACATTGTATACGCGCCCAGAATGTTTCGTTTGCAAGTGTATTCTACCTAAAGCTCTTTTCTTAAAAAAAAAGAAAGAAAAAGAAAGAAAATGATAATAACGTGTATGTAAATTTATGCAAATGTATGTAATTTTATTTTATTGGGGGGGGGGGGTTCTTCTATTTGTTTCACAGAGTACATTTAAAGCATTACGTAAAGCATGCGCTGTTTTCAACATACATGTAATTGCATTGTCTGATGTAAATGACAGATACGTATATAAAACTTTAGCCGAATAATTGTCAAGTCAATTACTAGTAGTGAAACAAATAAGAAAAAAAACTATGGAACAAAAACATATAACAAATTTATTTCCCAGAAAATGTATATAAATTGTAAAGTTTAATGGGAATTGTTACTACTTGACTAGGTAATAGTATCAATAACCAGGATTGTCGTTACAGTGCTTGACTAATTTGATCACCTTATGTTTATCTTAGAACTTAACATCTTTGCTTTTTTGTTGTCTTTTTTTCTGAACTTTTCTTTCGCTTCCACTTTGGTGCCTACATGTATTTCAAGAGCATATATATATATATATATATATATATATATATATATATATATATATATTACATTTTCAGCAGCGAAATATTGTGATTTATTTATTGAATAAAAGTGATATTCTCTCACAGTGTGAAAGGAAAACAAAGTGACATTCTGTAAAAGTGTGAAAGGATATCAATGCAAGTAAAAATAATTTCTGGTCTGTAATAAGATATAGTAGCTAAATCATCTTAATAGAGACTAAAACTGCCAATATCTTCCCAAATATGTTGCTTAAATCCATGTTAAAATGTTTTCAATCTCACAAATGCTAAGCTTTATGACTTCTCAACTGCTTAACTATGTCGTCACAGCATATGACACTGAGTTAAGAAGTATGGAAGAGACAGAGACAAATGGAAAATCGAAGAAAATGTAATAAACAGAAAATTCAATGTTTTATAGTTGGATATGGAATTTATTTCACTCGTGAGACAGGATGTTTTTATATTTTCACTCGTGCTTCGCATTTGTGAAAATATCAAAAATCCTGTCCCACTCGTGAAATAAATTCTATATCCAACTACACAACATTGAATATATTCTCTCTCTCTCTCTCTCTCTCTCTCTCTCTCTCTCTCTCTCTATATATATATATATATATATATATATATATATATATATATATATATATATATATATATATATATATATATATATATATATATATATATATATAAAGCACTAAAAATGACCAACGACACGAACAATAATAATTGTCAAATTTTCGGGACGATCTGTCCCTTCCTCAGGACAAAGAAAAAAGTTAAGAAGTCATAAAAACAAAGGAAATAGAGAAACAAAAACAACTAGCACTACTACTAAACTACAGTTACAGTTACGCTATTTTGAGAGAATAAGACAATGTACTGTTTACTGATTGGTCGTAATTAATTAGCGATAATTAATTCGTTCAATTATGTAAATCGCACTTCACCAGAGTACACCCGATAGATCGGACGCAATTCATAGCGCTCCGGATTTCTTTGTTCACAACTGTTTATAAACTTCAAATTAAACATGTAACACTCTTAATATTTAGTCTTTGGTAGTTTAGTAGTACTGCTAGTTGTTTTTGTTTCTTATTTCCTTTGTTTTATGACTTCTTAACTTTTTTCTTTGTCCTGAGGAAGGGACAGGTCGTCCCGAAAATTTGACAATTACTATTGTTCGTGTCGTTGGTCATTTTTAGTGCTTTATATAAATTTCCATCCGTGACCTTGTATCTACTTAGTAGATCCGACACTTAGGATATGCAGTGTTGTTGGTTTTTAGTGCTTTATATATATATATATATATATATATATATATATATATATATATATATATATATATATATATATATATATTAGGGATGTCAAATCGGTTACTCGGACGTTTTTCCGATCGAGTACCCGGGTACTCGGTACATGTAAAATGTAAATACAAGTGTGTTAATTTTCTTGAGCCACGTTGAGCTCTGTCAAACCCCAAAGCTGTTTTATCACGTTTATAAATGTATACATATAGACATTGAGTCCAATGGGATTGATTTTTTTGGTACTAATTTATTCATCAAATAAACACAGAAGACACAATTAATACATCAAAAATTACAAATGATTTACAGTTCTTGTTTTGGATCTATTTCATCATCGCATAAGAAACAATCTTTTACGCGGGTTTGTGAAGAATAGACTAGCGAAAGGGAAGGAACGGACGTTGTTGGAATCGCTAGTATAAGCTGGTTGTTTCCCCCGTATAAACTTACAACACAAACTGACTTTCAACATTTTTTTTCAACTTCAATTATTTTTAAACATTTCTTCGGTTTTGAAGTGGGTAGTGGCATTTCTATGCATGTCAGATTTCACTGCCAAATATAATCTAAATAATTTAGATTTGAAGATAATAGACCATACTTAATCGATGTTCACTGAAAGCAATCATTGAAGCCATCCAAATATTAAAAACCATAATAGGTCACTAATTACTGTATATACACAGCCACAGGCGATAAAGGGTGATTTATAGGTGTAAATGACGACACGCTAATAACCGTATGCAGTTTTTAAGGGTTTTTTTTTTTTTTGGTTGTTGTTGTTTTGTTTTTGTTTTGTTTTTTTTTTGTTTTTTTTTTTTGATAATTTTTTTATAAAAATATGTACTTTGAAATAAGGTAACATACACTTCCGAGTAACCGAATACCATTTTTAGTATTCGATACTCGGACGTTCGATCGAGTACCCGATTAACCGGGTACTCGTTGACATCCCTATATATGAAATGACACAGACAATAGTTTACAGCTGTTGATCCGGAAGAGTACTTTTGAAATATCAATCCTTCATACATAACAACCCAACAAAAAAATTTAAAATGTGACCCAAGTTTCATTAGAAAGTAAAATATGTGTATTAAAAAGCTATTCTATGTAATTACTTTAGCTCTTATTAAGAAGCTATAGCACGCATAGTCACAGAATTTCTTCAAACTTGCTATGATAAAAGTATTTGATACCATAAACTCATATCAGACAAATATTATAGTGGTTGTTCGTCAGTGACTGTTTCCAAGTGAAGGACTTGATGTCCTACATGTATATGCATAATGAAAAAAAAAACAATTGCATACGTTATCATAAAAGAAATATTGAAATGCAATATTTTTTTTCATTTATTAATTTCACAAAATAAATGAAATCACAAGTTGTAATGTAACCATATAATCTTACGCAGAGTGTAAACGGTGCGGATCTATAAGAAGTCTGATTGTAATTAGATTGTAACTTATTCATAAAAGGACAACTATATTTGTTGTTTATCTAGCATTGCTGATTGAGTTTGGTCATGTAACTCCTAGAACTCTTGAGCATCTTTTTCTGAACATAAAATGTATTCCAAAGCTACCATGCTTACCATCTATTTTAGAGATAAATTACAGAGAATTTCTTTACATCATCAGTAGAAACTATAGGTAATATATTGTTTATGCTAGTGGTCAATCTGGTATTCTTAGTCCTTGTAAAGGCTTAATAAAGATTCAAATTAGCTGAAAATCTCAATTTTTGACATTTTTTCTGTTTCTGTGGCAATCTGAACACACAATAACAAAATTTTGCTTTATTCTGTTTCTGGTATCAACCTTTAATTATGAGCAAAGTTTTTGATTGATTTGTGTTTCTGGCGTCAAACTTTACTTATAAGCAAAGTTTCATCTTAATCGGTGACCATGCGTGCCAAAAATTTTTTAAGCGATTTCAGAGAATTCCTCTTAAAAACTGATAGCATATTTTGCAGAGAATTGCTTAAATAAAAAAATGTGAAGTATCATATTTAATTTGAGCTGATTTACTTATCACAATCCTTCCTTTAAAAATTTCTTCAACTTTCCGTAACTCGTAAGCTTTAAAATCTATGTTGTTCTCACAACGTAAAGAAGCCTACATCATTTTATCCCCTTTGTTAAGGTCCTTGTGAAGGTCAAGGAGAGAATCTAATATGTCCAATCACATATAACTCAATTAAACTGAGTCTACTAAACCACAATCCATTAGACAAATTAAATCATGAGACAATAATCGCCTTATAAGTATACCTTGGTGATTTGCCTTTTTTCCCATCTTTTTCCGATATTTTCGATGGCAATTGGGTTACCTTAGTAGATTGTAATGGATGCAATATTCCGACAAATATTTTTAAAAAATCTCGTAGAACTGTTGGAGTTTTGGACATTATGATTAGAACGGATCTCAAGCGTTTCATTTCATGGACATCTATTTGGTCCTTCAACATCCTCCTTTAGAAAAGAAGCGCTTCCATATCGTTCCATTAGGTCGTTGAGGTTTTCCATTTGTTTTATCCAAAATGTCACATATCTTACACATTGAATTCAGAAATACTTCGTCAATACCAATTTCGTAATATTTGTCTTTTTCTCTTAGGTATTGTGTAAAAACGTCTTCCTTTGAGGCAATTTCTTTAAGTTTCTCTGCCAAAGCTTTAGGCGAGGGAAAATCCAAAGCGCTGATAAACGATCCTTTTGGCAAATACTCCTTGGCTGTTTGTGGGCCATTTATAACAGGTATCACATCTAAATTGCCCAAATATAAATTGTATAATTTTTCTGTCGTATAGTCCTCACATATATTATTTTCAAATGAAAAGTAGAACTTGTAATCCCTAGAAAAGTTTCTCAAACACTCGCTTAAAACTGGAGATCTATTGCGGCAAACGCGATCACCACAAGTACCAAACATATCTACTTTTATATACTTCTTCAGTTCTCGTATATAGTCTCGTCGGCGAGATGGCACGGGACAATGTCCAGACATCCATACTCCAAATCCTTTCTTTCTCTTAAACACATCTGTGTAATTCTTCATTAAAGGTGAAGCTCGTTTCACTAAAGTTCCATACGGCCTGTGTATATCTGAATTTCTACGATACGACATTAACCAGTCTAATTTGTCGTCCCACTTGGGTGAGGGTCGGTGCATGAAAGCTGGGCTTTCCATTGTATTAAATATGAATATTTGCTGAGGTCTTTTAGGCGGGGGCACACCTCCCATGTAAGCTTGTGTAAATAAAACAACGTCACTTTTATTTAGATCTCTATTATCCATAGAAAAAAGACATTTAGGGTATTTCTTACATTTTTTTGATTTAGCGTATTTAAACTTGTTCACTAAATACGGGGGTATATTGTGCCACAATATTCTCCATTCTTTGTTTGATGTAGACGGGTAATTTTTCTGACGTTTAACTGGCAGAAAATCCATTGTACTAATAGGAGTAAATGTATCAAACAGCAGGAAGAAAAATCCGGTAGAGATAAAGAAAACTACAAATACTCGAAGGGAAAGCTCCAATTGTGAAGACCTGAAACACAAAAATATATATATCAAGTAAGGATTAGTTTAAACTTTATTTCATTTATATAAGTCATCATATGTATACAACAAATAATTACATACAGGATTCGGAAACAAGTTGTTACAACTTATATTTTAAAAAAGTAAGGATTGATGTGAGAGAGAGACAACATTAAATACAAACAATCTCAATATAGTACATGTACTTGTTTTATATTTATTACAGATATTATTTCAGAATACTTGAAAAAAGTGGTTAAAAACAAACATGAACTGATTTAAAACATTAACTTGGTTTAAATAGCATTCTATTTATGAGATTTATTTTTATTGGGGGGGGGGAATGCAAGTGGAATCTGAAAGACATACATTGCTCTCTCTCTCTCTCTCTCTCTCTCTCTCTCTCTCTCTCTCTCTCTCTCGAACGAACGAACGAACGAACGAACGAATGAACGAACGAACGAAATAAAGAATATTTAGCGAGTCAAGCGCACTTTTTCTATTCCGACCATTCATGTCCTTCAATCGAGTGACTAATGTGAAATACATAAAGGCTTCAATTATGTTTGATGATCAATAGCAAAATCCATTGCAAGAATTGAACAGTCAGGGGCATAATGCAAACAAGTTATTGTCAAAAATAACTCAACGAGTTAATTTTTGGTCACAGTGAGTTACCTCTCTCTGCTTCTGTCCTACTTTTTCCCATCATTAGTAACTCGATCAAGTAGTTTCAATAAAATAACTTGTTTCAGTTATTTTGTGTCATTCCCCCCTAACTTCACAAACCGTGCACCAAAGGTTTTTGCTCGTGTACCAAGACAAAAACAAATGTTTGGTTAAATTTAAACCTTGCTCAATCCAGAAAATATTGTCCAAAGTCTTGGGGAAATTTGGAAAAATCATTGAATTAATGATAAAAACTTGACCAAAACAATGTAAATAACACTTCAAAATAAGAAGTAAAATGCTATTTGTCTACACCTCCTCAACAGTTCTCCATTGGAGTCTATACACTCAATCTTGTATTACATAATGGAATCCCAAAGTGCAATACATTTTGGCGGGAAATACAAAACCCCCAAGTAATCAATGTCCAAGTAGGATATAAAAGTAACTTATTTAAGTTATCATTAGAAAAAATTCTCTGTGTGTAAAATAGCTTATATATAAGTTTTTTTTTCTAATAACCTGTTTGTATAATGACCCTGAATGCAATGTTGAAAGAAGGATAACTCTTGCAAACATCTAATGCTTCTCAAAAATGACAATTAAGGATAATTAACACGAAAAATTTGATGCATGGATTGATATATATTTTTAACTGATTTTGATTAGAAATGACAAAAATAATAAATCCCTCAAATATATTGAAATCGTAAGTTTTCTTGGGTGCTTAGATATGTGATTTTTTTTTATCGCTTTCTATATAATTCTAATATTCTAAATTTTGCATAACTTTTTAACCTTATAACAAAATCTTATAAAATACTCCAACTATACCTGGCAAACATTATTCAGGTTACCAATTCAAATATAAATCTATGAGAAATAATGCTGATTTCCGAAAAAAAAAAGTTTTTGTAATTTATCCTTAAAATGCCTGTAACTTCAGTTTTTTATACCAAAGTTCCAAAGTTGATTAATCGTAACTGTTTAAGGTTTATATCGTTGATAAAATAAAAAAAGCATAAAACAATTGTTGTCAAAGAACAGTATTGTTCTGCCACCTATCCCAAAGTCAATTTTAAAAAGTTTACCTAACTGAGTTATTTTTTCATATTTATATAGATACCTTCTTGCAAAGGTTAAATTTAACTACGAATATTTCCTGAATTTAGGGTCGATAGGAATTTGGGCTTAGAGCATTTCTGTCCATGGATGAAAAACACGCAGTTTTAAAACTCAGGACATATGTTAAATTTTATAATTTCTTCAAATAGAAGGTTATTTGTCCTTGATTAATAATGCTGATTATCGAAAAAGTTTTACTAGATTTAGAATCTCATGTCATTGACCAATCATCGAAATGGGTAGATATAAGAAACTTCCTCCACATTTACGAATTTGTCAACACCACTGTAGTTCAAATGTTGTTGATGATGAATTGCATTTTTTTATTATTTTGAGAGAAACACAAGAAAGACAGACAAGAATTAATGAAAGTTGTAAATGAAGAACGTTGCAATTTTTCTTACCTACAACCAAATGAAAAATTTATTTGGTTAATGAACAATGATTGATTGATTGATTGTATGTTGTTTTACGTCCCATTCGAGAATTTTTCACTCATATAGAGACGTCACCATATACCGGTGAAGGGCTTCAAATTTTGACCTTTACTCGGCACTCAGGGCCATTGAGCAGTGAGGGATCTTTATCGTGCCAACGCCTGCCGTGACACGGGGCCTCGGTTTTTAAGGTCTCATCCGAAGACCCGCAACTTTCACTTTAAAGTGCCGAGCGCATGGCGAAGGAACAGTTGCTACCCATTTTTTATCGACTTAGGTCAGTCGCGGCCGAGATTCGAACTCACGACCTCCCGATCACGGAGCGAGCGCTCTACCGACTGAGCTACCGTGAACGGTAATGAACAATGAAATTAAAAGGGTGTTACTGCAATTGGCAACATTTATTTACCTGAATCGTGATTAATTGATATCTTTTTTTATTATTATAAAACTGTATTATGAAATAATTTTCTTCTTTTTTCCAGTCATTAATAGAGAATCGGGATCGGGATCCTACCAACATGTCCGCCAAAATTTTCCCGTACAATGTTTACAATATTTCATAAATTTTACCGTCACAGTGGGCATATGACAACCTGTGAGTACAACTGATTTGAACTTTAGACGACCGTTATATATGATATAGGTGATATAAAAGAAAATAATACCCAAATCTCCAGTAAACAAGCATTGCATTGTGGCGCCCTTCGACCAAATAGCCAAACATGACATAAATAACGTACGCAGTACAGTTAAGGTGCCAAATGGAAATATCGGCGAATTTTTTAAATAGAAAATACATTCTTTTCAAGGATGGGCGTTTCTTTTTAGGACTTTACTATTATCGGACAAATGCAATGTGGTTGAAAACTACATGTTGAGGACGATTGGATTTCCTATTTAGACTTGTCACGTGATGTGGCAGTCACGTGATTTTAGGAAATATATCTGAAGTATTGAGGTCATCTATAAATTCTAATATTGCAAGGGCATAACCCAGTTAAAAATCTAAGTTTAACATATAATTATTTTCAACACTCTTTGTAGTTTGTGAAAAGTGCTGCGAACCTATATAGATTCTACTATCTAATTGCTAAAATTGCATTTGTTAGACCTTATGTTGAATATTTTGCTGGTCAAGTACATTAAATATAAATATAATTAATTCATTTGCAAGATTTCAACAGGTTCGCAGCACTTTTCAAATATCTTCATACTTCTGGAGTTTATGTGTAAAAGCTTGTCATAATTCATTGAGGGTATGCCCTTGCAATATACGGATTTATTACGACCCTTCTATTACCCTTCAATGAATCTGCATACAAATATACGACAGTATCGCTTGTCTATGGAATGTACTGGAAGTATATGAATAAAATCATAAAATAGACATCGCATCCAAGTTAATTGCCTCTTATATATCTACAATTTATATTTTATTTAATTACAAAATACATTTTTCATTGTATAAATATAACTTGATCCGCCTCTCACTGCATACAAACTGCGTCAAATGTTACGATATGACGTCACATTGACAAGTGCATTGCGATCAGTGAATTGTTTATATATTGCTGTGAGGGATTTAACCAACGACAATAATGCATGCACTAGTTAGTATTGATGTAGTTTAAAGCTATTCAACAGTTTAAAATAGCAAATCATTTCATTTTGTAGTAATTTGAAGAAGTTATATTTTTGTGTGATGTCATAGTAAGCATTTCCCGTATAAATTAGGCCCCGCCTCCTTACTGCAGCCTTAACTGTGCTGCGTATTATCTTCAAACTACTGGTCATCTGTCTTAGACATCGAAAAAATATGCGATTCCAAATTGTCCTAAAAACCAACAGGCAAGGCTGCTAATGCAGAGGTAGAAGCCATAGACAAAAATCTCTATGAATCTAATGCGAGAATGGTAAGTTTAAAAATAAACTGTCGAGACCGTCTAAAAGCATGATTGAAGGCGTTAGCTTACCGCTACCACTATCAGTTTGGAATGGAAAAAAACTTTATTTGTGACTGGATTGACCGACTAAATAATGAAAATGAAGTTGATGAAGTGATGATAAAACTCGCAAATCGCTCAAGTGCAAGCACCAAAGGTGAGGAATCAGAAAAGTTGTTCACCATTCATGTATACTTCATAACACATTTGGCTACCATTCAAGGTAATTTCTATGAACAATGGGTTGATGAGGAATTCAAATATCTTAAAGATGTCGTAAATGAAATTACAAACAATTCTCTTCAATTTCTAGATCTCACATCGGAAGATCTAGAATCAACTATTATCCCTAACTCCCCTCGCATTCTTCAACCCTGACCATCAAAGGGACAAAACATACAAGAGATGATTCAGGCTCTTGAATCAAAAGTGTGTGAACATCTTCATTCAATTGAGAGCAAGTTATCACAACATGTAGCAATAACTGAAGAACGAATCACAAAGCTAGAAAAGGATGTAGATG